GGGGCGGGGTACAAATTGGCTTTTTCGCAATGTCGGATTTCACTTGAACTTATGCTGTTTTCTTAAGTTTTGAGTCACTTAATTTTAATCATACATTGGGAAAAATACCCGTGTGACGTGGGTGGCTTATGCCAGTTTACCTAGAGCTGATGAATAAGGAGACATCGTGCCAGTCATCAATTAAGTCGACTTTCGACCACGACCGGTCAGCTTGCTTCCCTAGCGCTCAGTCTGACCGCGAGGTCACCGATCATCGACTGGTCGGCGTGACAGCGTCGTTGGTCACCGATCGACTCGATTGGTCGGTTTTAACCTAAAAGTCTAACGGTTGTTGAGTTGCAGACGGAGCATTCTCTGTTTATTGCGCGGGTACGTACTACATGCTAATCAGCTTACGACCAAATACCAGAGGAGGCTGACATAGAAATCAAGGCTATATTTTTGTGGGGCACTGAGTAAACGTTGGCCAACGCTTCCTCGGTTCTTACCACACGGCTGAATAAAAGGGAGTACTGTCCAGTCATTTCTTGGTGCACGCCTCGGATAAATGTGAAATAGGATTCGCTTTTTTGCGTCGATAGATAAAACCCCTAGCCAGACATTTCTTTCTTCGACGGCACCCGAGCTAATGCCTTCCGCTCTTGTCACATTTTTTGGCCGGTAACAGAGTTCGAAACTGCACCACTCGGTTTCTTCAGCTGGCACCGAGGAATCGCCGGTGGGTATTTACTCGCTTAATGGCGAAGACGATGGTGTTTTAAGGATATTGGTTGTAATTCAACTTAGCACCAAGCAGCAGATGAAAAGATCAGACTTGTCCTTCGTCTAAAGAATAGAACAAACTTAGCTTGCTAATAAAGAGTAATCTGTTCACATGGCACAAAACTACGAACACCACTACCGTCTAACAAATCGGGCAAAACGCGTGGAACAAAAATGTGCATTGTTGAAAAGAAGCAGAAATACATACGCAGCGCATGTGCAAGCAGGTTTCTTTTTCCCAAAAGAGGAAGAGCGGATGCCGAGGAAAAGCTGATGGTAATGGATGGACTAACCACTCTTTTCTATGTCCGCCATAATATTTTCGCGTAGTCATGTGTTGCAACATGCAATAGCAATATACACAAAATACACAGCAATAATTCTTGTTCAAAATGCTGAGCCGTTGGTAGCATGTGAGCAGACTTGTGCTCGACTAAACTCCAAGCTCGAGTCGACTCACAAACTGAGCACTTACTATCTGTCTTCCCGTTCTTCTACGGCGTGTTGAGACCATGGTTCTGAATTCATTTTCTGTTTTACATCATTCAAATTTATTCTGGTTCGTGTCATGGCCGACACGTGCGTTTAATCTCATGCTTTTCCTAGTTGCGATGTCATTTGCCTTGACCTGACCCGCGTAATTGACCGGACGTGATGTTCAAAGGGAGAATTAGATTTCCAAGGCGAATCGAAGCGCCAACGAAGACGCCGAAATGGTGTGCGCTTGCGACAGGCAAGGCAGACGCGACATCCACTTCACCTTGATTAGCGAGGGAAGCTGACAAGGCCTGGCGGAAGCTGCTCTGATCATTAAGAATCTGAGAACCTCTATGATGGGTCCTCTATACCATATGAAAGGCGAGAGTTGAAATGGTCGCGATTATAACTCCCGATCTCTTGACCTTGTAGTCGAACGCGCAGTCCGAAAGCCCACAATCACTGGGAATAATACGTGGAAGTTTTTATGTTAGATGTGCTGTCACCTAGAAGTTAGTGCATACAAAGGTTTTGCATCAGACCTATCGTGGGGTTGAAGATTTTGACTCATATAGTTGGCGCGCAGTCTTCTTCTAGTCTAGTCTCACACGATATGGGCTGATATAATGCTGTTGCGGTCGCTATGAATACCACGTAGATGTTTTTTATTAGGTGTGTTGCGGCCTGAGAGTTCGTACACAAGAAGAGTTTGTATCAGAATTATTGAAAGGTTGAAGGTTTTGACTTAAATGTTTGTTGCGTTGCCTGTTGCGCTGGAAGTTTCGTCGTGGAGACGCTTTTGCATTAGTAGTTCTTGCGTCGGACATAAAGTCTCGTAGGATATTTTTTCTGGATGTTTTTTCACCCTGACACATTCTGGCATTGGAGTCTTGCGGTGGAAGTTTTCTCGCGTATAGGCTTACGTGGCAGAAGCTCATTTGTTAGAAGTCTTGGCATTAAAAATATTTGCGCGTAGAAGATGCTGCGTCAACATTTAAGACACACAGAAGTGATATTGCGCAGCAGTATTTATACTAGCAGTTGCATCGTGGAGGTTTGGTTAATAGCAGTAATCTCATGAGGAAGACTTTTGTGGAATCGTTCACTCCATATGGGAAACAACCGACATAAATCAACAGATCCACGTGCGTGCAGTTTATACACAGCATGTGCTCGCACCTTTGATCTTTTCGAAATTCACTGACATCTCATGGCGTGCACTCATCTTTGAATTTTTTAATGTAATTTCTTCATACACTATGTCATGCATTCATTCATGACGTACTCAAATGCAGTGTCAAAAGCCAGCCGTACGAGATGTGGTCGCTCATGATAGCTGCTTACCACGTTGGCCAATTCGCGGAGACATGAGCTGGACTTAATGGGTCATTTTGGACCGCGGTGAGTAACCGTGCTTTGATGCCAAATCCCCCTGGCGTTAGCGGACAGGACCCCCAGCGAGTCGCTTAGCACCGTGAACAATGCCTGCCCTCTCCGGATTCAAGGCGCGGAATCTGTTTGGCCAGCTGGGCCACCCAGCGAAACAAAAACAGCCACAACTTACCAGGTGGACAGTGCCGTCAAAACACGGCACTGCCGGAGTCAACTAACGGCAGCACGCTGCCCGCCACAGCGGCTGCTCGGCTCCCCACGTGATGTCGCTGTACCAGCTGCCCTCCACCGACCGGCGCGATTGCTGGAAGGCAGGATATTTCCATCCCGATAAAGGTGTCGGGCCTCTCCGGCTTTGGTGACCTCAGGTCTCCCATTGAAGAGACAAATAATTTTGGAACGCGCGTAGACCTTTCCGATAACGTTGTTGGCTGAGACGTTACACATTTGTGTTATTTGTAACGACGCATCGCTGATATGCATGCTGACATTTGCATTTCTGACATTCACACGCAAAGACCGAACGTCGTTATTCTGACCTTCAGATAAGACCCAGCTGTGGATATAGTGGGTAATCTAATTCGGCATTGTTAGCGCTCATTAGGCGTCTTGTTGTCCACGTGCGGTGCAAAGTACCCGAGCCATAGCAAACATTAGGACGGTCCCCGAGGACATACGCGAGGTGAGCCTGACCGCATCTCATGCCGTCCTGGAATTCCTAAAAAAGCAACACAAAATATGTGTGACCGGACAGGCTCGCAAAGGTACGAGCCACATCGTGCCATCTCTGTAAGAAATACATTGTAGGCTGCATGAGGAGAGCCCGAGTGACGTAAAATGTACAACATGTATGCACTTCCCACCCCGCAGCGCGGCGCCCTCCTTCCCGAGTTCGTTGCAGGAGCTATGCAACGGAAGAGACTTCAGCGTTATTTCGAGCGGAGTCGGAAAGCGATTCCGGAATCAAACGATTTTTGTGGTGTTGAAAATCAGCTACGGTCCTGGAAAGCTAGCGTCATCATTAGCGTCAAGCTAGGAAAGCTAGCGTAATAGGAGTTTGAGCGCAGTAGAGATTGGGTGTAGGGTTCGGTTTTGTATTAGTTGCGCCCGCGTTAAGTTAGTTTCAATGGCACTGGCTTCATTGGTTGGAATCTCCTAACCCTAGGCGGGGGAGTTTGGCTCACAAAAAGCTCATTCCCAGCTCCCTAGCCGTGTGCTGCGGCTGATGCTTTTAGGGCATCCCATTCTTGTACTGTTATCAAAATATTTCACAGGCCCACACATAACATGCTTCTGCTTCTTCTCTGATATATGTTTGAGTCTGTCTCTTTGCAAACAACTTCACGCACTGGAGACAACTCGAATTCATGTGAGCCGAGATCCACTACGAAAAGAACGTACAACCTCCCAAATTAGCATCGCAGCAGATTCAAAACTGAACGGAGTTGTGTGGAAGTGACATCGGATCAAGCTTCTATAAAACATTATTGCCTCTGGCCATACGTGTTCTGCGACCGTCAAGTGTACTGTAATGAGGCCAAATACGGGCTTCTGGCGCTACATGCACATGTTTTTGGGCACTTTAGGTTTTAGTTTATTTGGGTGCATTGAAGGCTTGAAGCAGTGTCCTTTGGCAGCAGATTGACGGTTTGAGCTCGGCTATACCTCTGTACCTTTGGCCTCACACACTCCCTCAAGACAGCAAGCAACACTGGCGCTGGACATGGAAGGGCCCGCCTACAAGCCGCACATCCCTATACATCGGAAGGATTAGCCCGGAGCTTCCCTTCAGCCTGCCACTTCAGAAGCTTCGCTCAAATGACGGAAGCATTGTGCAAAACAGCAGTATGGATTCCGATACCAGCTGAACCGATGCGGTATCTGCCCATAAGTGAGACTGCTTAGTATAACAGTCTCATAAGTGAGACCGTTATTTCGGCACTGCCATCGAGCAGATACATGCGATACCTCGTAGATTCGCAGTTCGACCCGCACCGCCTGGTAAAACGGCACAACTAGTTTTCAGCAGGTTTATTGGTCATAAACAAGTCAACGAACTATACATTAAAACAGCTTAAGAGGCCGAGGGCCATATTCTTATCACATGCCATGGCCGGCTGGCCCCCATCCCGAACGACACCACCATGGTTTGGGAGCAGTACATCCCTCCAGTCAAGCAACCCTCACTCACATCCCCCACAGCTCACCACTCAACGACTAGCACCAACCATTGCGTTCAGCACTTCACCAGCCGCAGCGACGCGCCAAGATCGGGTTCAACGCCACCAGCGAGCGCGAGCCAAAGGTCAAGGCCGGTGACCTGCGACCGACCGGCCGCCCTATGGCAGAAATGGCCGCCACCCCCCCCCCCCCCCCCCCAGCGCGGCGCTTGCAGGGAGTACGGGGCAGCGACGTGAGCCTACAGATAGCTAAGGCGACCAGAGTCGCTTCACAGAAGTCCGCAGGGCCCTCGGCGGGCCTGGACGGCAGTACACGGCTGGCGGTTCACAAGTTACGCCTATCACACGCCGCTGGAGTGCGTCTGGCGCTCACGTCAGCGGAAACACTTGGCAGCTTCGGACGAGGACCGTGCCTCGTCGACCGAGTGTCGCCGCCGGTAACATGACGGTCGCGTGGAGGACGCGCTCGACCTTTACAAATCTTACAGGAGATACCGTACAAACGAGCGCTAAAATGACGCGTTTCCACGTAGGTACAAATCATTCCGCGGACACTATCCAATCAGTGACACCCTAACAAATATCGGAACGAATCTCGACAGAGCTGCCAGCCGAAGCACAAACAAGTAAGTAAATGCAATAATCTGGAATCATGTATCGCCTCTCTTTCTCTGTCGGTCTTTGGCACAACGAATAGGACGTCACGCTTCGCCCAGCTGACGTCACCGGTCGCCCGCCGCCGAGCACGCGGATAGCCGCGAAGCGGCGGCGTGACGTCACCGTGACATCACTAGCACTGGGCGAGCAGCGGGTCCATGGAGCCGAGCTGGTGTCCGGGCGTGCCGTGCTCGGGGTGCTGGATCTGGTCGCGCACCTGCAGCAGCGTGCGCCGCACGTCCCGGTTGCTGGGCGCCAGCCGCAGCGCCTCGTTCAGGTCCACCAGCGCGCCGTCCAGTTGCCTGAAACGGCCGCCAGGCGTCAGCACCGGCGCGGACGTGCGCGCGGTAAAGGCGGAGATCGGGTATTGACGGGCTCCGCACGAACCTCTCACGGAATGACAGGATCGTCAGCGATGTATTCTCACATACAGCGTAGCTCACGTAGAGCTGGTGTCTGATCGGTACGTTGTCGTGTTGCTGGCGCTATACGGATGGCCAGTCGACACCCGAACCCCGCCACCGCCCCGAAGTAACATTAAAACCGGTGATCCAAGTCAGCGAGGCCTACCGCCGCGCTGCAGCGCGACACATCTGCTTACTTCTGGGCGTGCTTGGCCTTTGCACGGAAGAAGTAGGGCTCGAAGGCCTCCGGTCGGACCGACATGGCCAGCGTCGCCAGCTCTGCTGAAATTTGGTGCTTCTGCGGAGAGGACGGGTCCAGGTCAGCACTGGTCAACAGGCGAGACCCGGACGACATGACCAGACTAGGGGACGCAGGGGCTTTCGACGAGTAGGGACGACGTGCATGAATTTACACAGTATCGCCGTTGGCGATGGATGGGTGGTAACGACGCACCATTTATTCTTCTTTCAAGGCGAACACAAAGTTAAATATCATAGAAGTGATTTTACAGCATGCATACAAATAACGCCAGTTATATCTGATTATGATGTAGTATTGCTATATATATGTATATATCACTTATGAGTAAACTATTTATTTTGCAAAGCATATATTATTATTATTACGTATTTAATACAAACAGCTTACATCACATTACATGGTTTGCAAAAAATGAGGTGAGGAAGTAAAAGCATGATTTAAACAAGCGACCATTGCATGCTACAAAGCTTGATCGATCAAAAGCCGAGTTTGATCACATGACCCACTGGGCGCCCGAGTGACAACTCACGCCAAGTTTTCTCTTGCACCGGGACAGATTGAGCAGCAGGTTGACGTGCAGCCGACGGAAGAGGTCTTCGTGCTCCTGCACGCCGCCCTCGGGGAACTTCTTCAGCGCGTAGGTGAAGCGGTGGTCGGCCTCCTGAATCCGACACTTCTTGTACAGCGTCATGCCGTCGTCGTTCAGCTTGTTCAGCAGCGTGAACCTGAAGCAAAGCAGAAGTCCGTCAGTGTCCGCTCCCGCAAGCTGAGGCGTGGATGAGAAGAAAGTCCACGCAGCGTGCGAATTGTTATATGCTATTGGTGCTAACCAGCGGATAGCCTGATGAGATTTTCCTTGTGTTTAATGGCACACTTCGGCAGCCAAGCCTGTAGCAAAAGCGATTAAAAAGCGTGCCAATGGCGTCCCGAATACACTACATAAATGGACGCAAAGAAGGCAAACATTAACCCGCGCAAGTCAATGCGGGATCCCAGCCAAAGAAAACAGTCGCGACCATATCACCTAGTGCTACACCAACGAAATCGCCCTTCAGCTGTGCCCCACAGTGCTCCTGTACCCCCTCCTGCCGACTCACATGATCTCCGGCTTGCCGTCGGCCATGGCCCAGGTGGTGGCCCCCAGCTTGGCGCCCTTCCTCAGGAAGCACTGCACCACCTGGACGTTGCCGCAGCCGATGGCGCGGTCCAGGGGGGTCATGCCGCGCCGGTCCACGTGCTCGATCACGGCCCCGCGGTCCAGCAGCAGCTGCCGGGCGCGGCAGAGGTCAGCGCAGGCCGTGGCAACCGCTCACAGGACACACAGGACCGCGGATTCTCGGCACTCGGAGGAATGGGGATTGTCATGAGGTTAGCGATCGCCGTGTGGCATGTCCACGGATGCTTTAGGTCTTTGCAGGACGAAGAAACGTTCCGTTTTTGTGAGCAAGTCTACGCGAACCTTCAAGACGTGATATCCCATATCTGAAGGCTTCGTGAAATAAACCCGCCGTTTTTTTGTGACTCATCATACAGATTCGTTCACCACTGCGCCCGTGAACAATCCCCCACATGCGCCCTTCCTTACGTCCCTTAGCTCGACTCTTTTCACTCGCTTCCACCCGACCCCACTCCACCCCTCTTCTTCTTTCCCTCCGCCCTCCTCCAGCCGGCGACCCTTACCGAGACGACGCCGGCGTCTCCGTAGAAGGCCGCCAGATCGAGCGGCGTGCGGCAGGCGTTATCCGTGTGGTTGATGTCGGCCCCGGCGTCCAGCAGGGAGCGCACCACGTGCGCGCGGCCCTTCAGGCACGCCCAGGAGAGCGCCGTCAGGCCCTCGCGGTCGCTGCGGTCCACAGACGCGACTGCGGGGGGGGGGGGGGACAGGTCAGTGTGGTCGACGACAGGCCACTGCGGTTCACTGGAGAGAGCAGCGGAGACACTGGAGAGAGCAGCGGGGGTCGGCTCCGTTAGATCGGTCACCCTAGGCACAAACACAGGCTCTGGACAGGCCCTTCACAGTAAAGCGTGACTAAGTGGAGTTCAAGGTGTTGGAATGTAAGAACAACACACGTTCTACGTATAGTCGGGGAAGCTTTAAATGCAATCACCTGGGACACTGCACGTCGCAAACAGTGGGGCAGAAAAGCGTGCCTAAGTCACGCCGCACCTTTGTTGAGAAGGAGATCCAGCACGCCCATGTGTCCCTCGCTGGCCGCCAGCATCAGCGGCGTGCGTCCCGCCTGGTCCTGCTGCTCCAGCGGCGCGCCCTGGCCCAGCAGCACTACGCAGATGTCCCAGTGGCCCTCCCGCACGGCGCCCAGCAGCGGCGGCGCCCCCTTCGAGTTGGCGGCGGCGACGGTGGCGCCGCGGCGCAGCAGCATCTCAACCAGCGGCTTGTGGCCGGCGGCGGCCGCCATCGTCAGGGCCGTCTCGCCGTGCAAACTGTCGCAAGTGTTTACTGCCACCTGGGGGTGGTGGGCGGAACCTGGTCAGCCATGTGGCGAGGGCGGAGGGTGGGGTGGTCGGTCCATTATCAGCTTTGCTTTTTTCTGCCACTCGTGGGTGGACTTTTGGGAATCAAGTGTGCCACTCCCACTATCCCAGCGACGGTGGACGCAATCGAAAGATGTACAACTAGCCACTAAATGAACTATTTTTTATCAAATACTCCTCCGATGAGTACAGCTTTTACAAAAATGGGACAAACTGACATCGTAATTTCTCAATCCAGGCAGGTAAGAATGGACAACTCAAACGAAACAAGTATAAAAAATCAAGGATAACTTTAACTTTAAGTAAGGTGATGACCTATAATGCACGTTGATCATAGTCACTAATCACAGGCGGCGGTGATATCTCCTGGGACTTACCTCCTCCATGTCGAGCAGGTACTCGGCGATCTGGAGGCGACCGTTTCCAGCGGCCGCCACCAGCGCCTGCTGCGCCGCCTCGGCCATGGCCAGCCGATCGCCGGCGCCGGCCGTTGCCCAGTCGCACCAGAGCAGGTACTCCACCACGCTGAGGTGACCGTGCACAGCGGCATGCACGAGCGCGCAGCGTCGGCCGGCATCGCACAGGCCGACGCTGGCGCCGTGCTGCAGCAGCAGCTGCACGGCCTCGGCGTGTCCACCCGTCGCCGCCAACATGAGCGGCGTCACACCCTTGCCGTTGACGGCGTCGACGGCGGCGCCGAAGCGCAGCAGCAGCTGCAGCATCTCGTCGAAGCCCTCGGCGGCGCAGAGGCCGAGCAGCGGCGCGCCGTCCCGCTGGCGGACGGCGGCGTCCGGGGAGGCGCCGGCCAGCAGCAGCAGGTTCGACACCTTGACGTTGGGACTGTGCGCGTTGCGGTCGGCGACGAGCGCGGCAGAGAGGTCAGCCGAGGCGCCGGCCACCCAGAGCGCCTGCAGGTCGCGTGGCGACACCAGCAGCTCCTCGCGCGAGTTCTTGTAGAGGTGCGCCTTCAGCACGTGGTGGCCTAGCTCGAGCGTCTTCTGCGCGTCCAGCGGCGCCTCCAGCCGGCTCATGCGCAGCGCGATGTTGGCGTGGCCCAGGCGCGGCTCCAGGAGGAACTTGGCGCTCTCGCCCTCCTCGCGCCGGGTCAGCCATTCCCGGAACGACGGGTGGAAGAACATGTACGTGTCGTCGACGCGTTTGACCAGGAAGCCCGAGATGGTCTTGAAGCGACGCATGAACTCGTCCCAGGAGATGGGTGCGCTGGTGCGACCGGCGTTGGCCGAGTGGAAGATGTCGTAGGCAGTCATCGGGTGCAGGCTCGCCAGGCAGCTAGCCAGCATCGGCTCCACCTGCTCGTACGACCGCTGCGTCGGGAACCTGAGGTTGCAGTTGAGCAGGAAGATCTCGCTGAGGCTGACGGGCAGCACGCGGAAGCTGGACGACTTCATCACTAGCTTGCCGCGCTCGATCAGGTCGAGGGTGAGCTTCACAAAGAGGAAGGAGCCCTTGGAGAGGTTGACCAGGTGAGCAATGAAGCGCGACTGGCCGCTTCCCTCCACCTTGGCGCCGCTGACCTGGATGCTGTTGGTGATGGAGGGCGAGTTGTTGATGCGGAAGGCGATGTAGTCGCTGAGGTCACGCTGCAGGTCGTCCGTGTCGCGCAGGCGGTCCAGGTTGATCTTGTGGAACGGCAGCGGGCTTGCGATGCCCTGCATCTGCGTGCGCACTGTCACCACGAGCTTCAGCCAGGCGGGGAACTTGACCAGGTGACGTGCTAGGAAGGCCGACAGGTTATCGCCGTACTCTGCAACAGACCAGGCGGGCGTCACATGCCAGCTCCAGGGACATTAGGAGCGAACTGCAGCGAACTGGTTTGGAGCGGAGCTGTTAAGATTTGTAGCACAGTGTTTCAGCTCGTCCTCTTAGCCCTTGCACCGGAGACAACGACGAAACAGATAGTGAGGAGAGAGGATAGGGAGGCGAGAGGCTCGAATCCAGGACACTGCAATCAACACCAGACGTGCAAACACCTTGCCGCCCAGTCGTTCAAACTACCCATCCAGCGTACAGCGACACAACAGAATAACGGCTGGCAGGCGCGGACCATGCCAGCCCGCCGCGCCACCGCTCCCGTCTCGCCACCGCTCCAGCTCACCTGGCTTGTGGTACTCCGCCTCACAGAGGCCGTCCACGGCCACGATGCACGTCTGCCCGGGCAGCTTTCCCGCCTGGCGGAGGGCGTTTAGCGGCTCGAGCACGCCCCGCGCCAGCGCCGCCGCCGGGTCGCTGACGCAGGAGCGCTGCGCCAGGATCGTCTGCAGCGCCGGCGTGCGCTGCACGTAGTCCCGGTAGGCGGCCAGCTGCGGCGCCTGGCACAGCTGCGCCGCCACCGAGTGCACGAAGTCCGGCACCAGGCAGGTGGCGCTGTTGTCGGCCTGCAGGAGGCGGAGTGGCGGATAGTGAGGGCCTGCGAAGTTGAGTGCCTGAACGAGCCAAAATTCGTGTTGTTTTTGCGACGTCACCACATCAAAGGCAATGACGTTGAAGACACACCACTCTAGACTTACGAAAAATTATGTTAACCTCACGGGTTTTGCGAACGAACGCTGCATCAGTGAACAAAAATCTGCACGCAACCATTTTTTACAAGGTAATGCGTCAAAGTACCGTCCGAACAGCTTCTCACGGCTCCCACTGCTCCGCTGCTAACCAAGGGCGGCCCGGACCTCTCACCTGGCAGAAGTGGTAGGCCACCAGGCGGCTGCCCAGCATCTTGAGGTCCTCCGGAACTACGCAGACGTTGGAGTAGAGGCCGCCGCTGCCGACCACCACGCGCGGCCGCTCGCCGCCGGCCGACGAGCTGATCTCTGCGGACAGCGCCAGCGGCGGTCAACGGCGGAACTAAGCGGAGAGCAGCCAGCAGGCCGGAGCAAGAGATACCAGCGGCACTTGAGAGGCGGTAGGGGTGTCGGCAGAGCTGCGGTAGGGTGGTGTCGGGAAACAGGCAGATGTCCTTCAATCCATCACCTGGCAAGCACGCATGTTCAGCACTCAACTTCTCAGTTCAGACTTGCAGATGTGAAAGGTCATAAACTCTTCCCGAAGCGGGCACACAGTTCACGGACTGTAAGTGAATGACAGCAACTTAGGTTTAAGGGCGCACCAAATGCATGGTTAACTCACACCTATACCCATCGCGGCCGAATCGCGCGAGCACTCACATCACCTCGAATCGTGAGTCGGAGACGGGCAGCTCACCTTGATAGAGAGCATCGTCCCGGACGGCGCGCCGACCGAAGCAGCTGTGCTCCACCAGCTGGAGAAGCACGGCCGTCTTGCCGGTGCCGACGCTGCCGGAGAGCACGCAGCCGCGGCTGGGCGTGCCGAGCAGGGCGCGGCTTAGCTCCGCGAACAGCCAGTGCCGGCCGAGGAACAGCGGGTCCTGCTCCTGCTGCGGCACCTCGAAGAACAGCGGCTGCAGGCTAAGCTGGCGGGGCCGAAACTGCGCGAACCGCGCTGCGGGCAGAGCGCCGTCGTTAGGGAGAGGGAGAGATGCGGCGAGGTGACTGAAGTGCTTGTGAAGATGAGGCGAGACCAAAAAGTTGTCACGTGAGAGCCGAAAAGCGGCGTAGCGAATCGGGTGAAAAGTAAGTAAGACTTGAAAGGCGCTCAGGGCTTTGTGTAAACGTCAAGGATTTGCTGCTACTGCTAAGACGTCGGGCAAGAAGGAGCACGTGCAGCACACTTCTCTAATCCCAAGTGCGGCGTTCCACGCGCATCGCGCGCGACCAGCTGTACCCAACGCATGACCTCTCGCTTACATAACAGAGCCCAGTGAAAGTCCACTGCACCACCACCACTCCAGGCTCGTGCAACAAACCTTTGGGGTCAACTGGCGTGGTGACCCGAGGGCAGCGTGCTGACCTCCGCGCCAGCTGATTCCGGGGGCCGCCGAATCCACTGACGTCATCCACAGCGCCTCTACCACCTGCACCGGGCGACACTAGGCTACAGTGGCGGCGACAGTGGCGACGAGCTCACCCCGCAGGCACGTGCAGACTAAACGACCACCGACTCTCACACCGGCGCGGATGGACGCACGACCCTTGGCCGGGGGACAGGACTACGGTCTCACCGGCGGCACCAACCTACGTACATCAGCGACTATCTGCCATCTCACGGGAGATGCGGAGAATGTGAAAGCGCCAAGGAGATTCGGGCCCGATAAAACAAAGTGCATGCCGGCCCAAAAGAAATTGGGCGCAACGAGCGTTTAAAAATTCCTAGCATGTGGGAAGAGAAACGACACTGTCAGTGTCGCCTGTTCCCTGAGCGTCGCGAAGCACACTGCAACCGCTACGGGCCTACATACAGCATGCACGCTCGGCCACGCGAGGCGCCGAGGGCTCGGCACTCACCCAGGGAGTTCCGGCGGGAGCCGATAAGGGGACTGGCCGAGGGGTTAGAGCCGTTCAGTGACATGGACATGAGCGACCCCAGGCTCTCGTGGCTACGCTCCGAGCGCAGGTGCGCCGCCTCCGACTCGCTCGAGCCTGCGAGACAGAGCCGTGTGAAGTCAGCGTCAGCACGATATGAGGTCAGCGTCAGCGCGGTATGACGTCAGCGTCAGCGAGGCAAGGTGTCAATATCAGCAAAGTGAAGAGTCACAAAAATCAGAACGGTGCAACGTTGGCAGTTGACGACAGTGGGTCTATACGCAACAACACTCAGGCAAATTTAGATCCACGACAGCAGAGACATGCAGGGCTATATGTACGCAAGTGCTATTTTGGACACAAAGAAAATGTTTTTTTAAAGATAAGGTCATTTTTGTGAAACGCGCCGCAGATTATTGCATGCATTGCTACGTCAGCCGCTCCTCCCGGGGCCAAGCCAATGACTCACTTCCATACCATTTGGGGCTCTGTGCACAACCACACAAGAGCACATTTTCTCATACCCACGCCTCGGTCTGAGGCCGACCAAGTAAGTCCGCCCCGAGCCGACGGGCGGCGCCTGCCAGGGCCGGGCGGCGGCGCGGGTCGCGGCACCCACCTGTCAGGGTCGAGACGGGGCTGGTGTTGGTCGAGGCCATGTCGCCGCGCGGCAGCGACGAGCGCGACTCGTGGCCCGAGTGGCCCGAGTGCGCGCCCGAGCTGGCCGAGCGGCTGGAGCGCGAGCGCTCGGAGCCCGGCGAGCGCGGCTCGGCGCCCGGGCCCAGCAGCAGGCCCAGCCGCGCGTACAGCGCGCTGTCCTCCGGCCGGCCGCCTCCGCCGCTCTCCTCGTCCGTGTCTGCGGGGAGGACGGCACGCGTCAGACGGCGGGAGAGGTGGAGGGAGACAAGCGGCGCTGAGTCGAGCCTGGAAGGGTAGGCGAGATCGAGATCGTCAGCTGGGCTGCGTGGGGATGGACTCGCAGCGTCGACGAGCGGCGCACGAGTGGGGAAACGCGACGCAGCACGCCTTCACGCCTTTCCCGGGCACAACCTGATTCACTCCCACTCCTTCACCGCTCGGGATTGCATCAGAGCTCAGACGGGGCGCGGAAGATCCTCGTCTCGACAGCCAGCGCGCCTTCGGAAGTCCTGAGCGCGGCGTCGCAGGTTGTCGGGTGCGCCCCCCCCCCCCCCTGCGCCCAGTCCCGAGCTCGCGCCGTCTACCGGCCGCGCCGGCGGGACATGTATGAGTCTGAGTCTGAGTCTGGGGCTCACGTCTGAGCCTCACTCCCTCACGCTCCGCCGCGGGCCGACGGCGGCGGGGAAGTCGATGCCATCGCGGCGCGCCAAATTTGGCCGCGCGGCAGCGATGCAGCGCAGTGCGGCGCGCTGCGGCCGCTGCGTCCGGCCAGCTCAGGTAATCGGACGTGACACGAGCGGCCGTGGGCGGCGTCAGCGGCGCTGCTGCGGGCCGGCCCCAGCCGCGTTGCGTGCACAGCCGAGCCCCGGCGGCAGGCGCGGGTCCAGCGGAAGGCAGAGAGGCGATCTCTTCCGCCGGCGTCGTAGCCAAGGAAGTCTTCTGGGGCCACACGAAACATGCTGCATGGCGGCATCGCGACACCTTGTTCTGTTTCATAACTCTGTCTTTACAACATCTATCTTCGAGAGCGCCATGTTTTTTGGACATCTGAGTGAGCCTCTGGGTTGGGCGTTGTGACACGAATCCTTTGGCACCAGATCACGCTTCAGATGGTGTCGCCACATCTCCGCCATCGCCACACCCCGCCAAAGTGGACAGGACACCACGAACACCCGTCCGACACCTGGTCCTCGGATTGCCCCCCCCCTCCCCCCCCCCCCGCCCGCGGATCGGCCCTGCGTGCCCCGCGCCCTCTCGTCATATGCCCGATTCGCCGACCCCTAGTCAGGCACGCCCAGCGCATGCCAACGCGCTTCTCTCTCGGCTGGTGCCGGCCGGCCGCTCTCATCCGGAGTTCAAGCGCTGCGTGACCCCTCGGTCTGTGGATCGGTGCGTAGCGTCCCCCGCCAGCACGTGGTCATATCAGCTTCAGGTGCGTTATCTCGCGCGACTCTCACACAGCCTGGCACCAGCCGGCCGCCAGTCAAGAGAGGCAGCCGCCGGAAAGAGCGACGGGGTTCGTGGCTGAGGCCTTGGCTACATGCACTGCGAAGGCGGCGACGATAAAGGTATTTGTATGATCCAACGGAAACAGTGAGCGGCACAGACGAAATCAAACAGCTTTGCAAAGAATCAACATGCCGGCGCTTTTAGCATTCGCACATGAGCAAAGAACCGGCGGAATGACAAATGCTCAGACTACATGGCGTTGCTAAGTAAACATGGCCATTAACAACGCCTCTGCTGTGAGTCCCCGTTGACAGGCCAAAACGCATGCTATCGTGGTTCTGCGTAGTAATAACCACTGCCATGTTCACTCTGACAACGCTCACAATCTCAGCGACGCGGGCGTCAATCTCCAGCTTCACATGATGTTTGCGTAGCCAAAGGTGCGTACTCTGGGTCGCGGAGCCGTTGGAGGGGGGGGGGGGGGGGGGGGAGTTAAACGGCCTGTATTACGCGCCACGCGCCCCGGGAGGGCATGCATTATTCAGCACCAGACAATCGGAACCCGGCCCGCGGCGAGGCGGCCTCCGTCCGCCGGCAAAACATCGGCTGGCGGGGCACGGGCCAGATGTCGCACGCCAAAACATCCTCCGCGTGATGGCGGCACGCTGGAGGAGATCCCGAGAGGGCTAGGGTCGCCCCAGGAGCGTCGGCAGAGCGCTCATTTAGGACTGTTCAGCCCGTGGCTGCGGTGTGCGTCTGCTGGGCATGCGGCGCAGAGCGAGTGAGTGAGCCGATTGGCGACGGATTCTCCGGGAGCGAGAAAAGGGGCTCGCTGCGCCGGCCACTCCTGCGCTTTGTTCGCGGCACAAAGCAAGCGCCTCGGCTAGAAACGAGGGCTGGAGACCCATGCATAGTTATTCCCGAAAGGGACGCCGCTTTGAGGAAACTGAAATAGCTTTGTGTCCAAGAGACACTCGGCATTGAGGTTTCAAACTTCTGTATGCATCCGCAAGGGCTCTCGAGCTTGTAAGGCCCCCGACAGGTCTGCCGTCGAGAGAAGCCGGTTTCGGCGGTGCCCGCGCCTCCGCCTCGTGGCGTGGCATGTCCGGTTGTGGGCCGCGGAGTTTTCGCGGTGCCGGCCGGCGCTGCGGCGCGAGCGGCCGGTTTCGGCAGTGACCCGCCTCGGCGCGTGGCATGTCCGGTCAGGCGTGACGTCCGTCCCAGCGACGGTGACCGGCGGTCTCCGAGCGGGCCACCTGCCCATGAATAAGCGATACGGTCGACGGGCCAGGTACCCAGCAACAGCATGAGACGGCCGGCCGGGGCCGGTCCGGGCCGGTGTCAGCTACCGGGGAGGGCCACGCGGCAACGGCTGACGCGGCGTCGCGGGCAGTCCGGTGTCAGCGGCCGGTCAGGTGCCTGTCAGGTGCCCCTCCTCAGCGGGTGATCGGGTGCCAACCTGTTGTCTGGCGCCGCCGGCGGGTCGCTGGGTGGCCCTGCTGTGTGGGCGGGGCCGAGCTCAGGGAGTACGCAGCGCGCCATTTCTTCAGCGTTTCGAAGAAACACCGGGGGGGGGGGGGGGACAACGCCTTGCACCTAGTTCTGGCTGTTTTAATGAACTCCAGCGTCTGCTGCTCCATTGCATTCGGTTATGTTTGAAGACATACGAACCAGGCGCGTTCGGCAGTACCACACCATACAAGGATGCAACACATTATATCCACATCGCTTCAGGAACCGCTGCAAATAACAACGTGGTCTCTCCTTCGCTGCATGGCTGTAAAAACGCGGATAAACCTGTACAGCCAACTGCACTTACTGAGTAGACATGCAGCGTCAAGGTTTACACAGGCCATGCATGCGGCTCTTTCGTCAGCCAGCTGAACATTCAGTCCTTTATTGGCTCACCGCACACAACTTGCTTGTCAGCTGTCGGCTTATTGAAAAACATGCTGGCGACAGGTGTTACTCGTGTCAATACCAACATGAAATTAGACTATATATATGCCTTTGCGCTGCTGCAAGCACAGCACTCTTTTGAAAACAAGCTATCCAGACATCGACCTGGTCGACACCGCGCTCACGATCGTGCTGAACGCCACTACCTAAACCGGCCGAGCGCATGCGCACCAACCTAGCGTCCAAAGCGAGCCGAGTCGACCTATCATGGCGTCGCGGCCCGGCGTGCCGGCGAACAGGGCTGCGCGAAACGGTGACGTCACAGTCAGCGATCGCGAAGTGTCGTCGCCGACGCGAGAGCAGCCGCGCGAGAATAAAAATCGCCGTCGTGTTCGTGACAGGCCGGACAGCAAAGGAGATGTCAGGTCAACATCTTGTCAACCAAACATCGCTCTTCAGCTGCACTGCATCCCGTATCTCGCTGACGTCATCGCGACAGCGATCGTCACACCATCGGCACCGACTTCAGCGGCTTCTCGTGATCCCGTCGTTGCCTGACAATAGCGTCCGGGTCGCCCGTACCCCAGGGCCTCTGACGGGGGAGCGGACGGTGTTATCACTCGTCCCGCGTGGATCAACAGAGCCCCGCCACTCAGCCCATTCAAGCCCGATAGCCGCTATCTCGCTTTTTTAAAGGCGCGGCCACGTTTTGATCCGCCTGGGCTCAGCGGCCCGGCCGAGTGCCGGAAGGCAGGCGCCGCGGAGGCGGCCGATTCCTACCGGCGAGGAGAGCCGATAGGCCACTGCTCGGTCAACACTTCAATAAGGCTCAAGCGGATCGACCGCGCGATGAGCGGCGGCGCTCGACGACAGTGACGTCTTCCCGGTATATGTGCCGTCGGCTGCGATGTCCCCCCGTTTCGCCGAACCGGGCTCCCTGTCGCGGGCGGGGGTGGGGGGGACGCGACGCTGCTGAGCGCGCGGGGAGTGGGCAGGTCTCGGCCAGACTCACCAGACAGACCCTGCAGACTGTCGACGCCGATGGTGTTGGCTCGCTGGCTGCGGCTCTGTCGGGCAGCCAACCGCAGCAGTTTGGGGCTGGTGCCCGGCGGCAGGCGGCGCCGGCTGGCCGGCGGGGTCGGCAGACCTGCCGGACCAGACGGGGTCAGCGGTCACACGAGCCGGTCGCGCCGCCGGGGCGGAATGAACGGAAACATTGCCGGCAGTGCGTCTCGAGCTCACGATCTTTCGGTCGTGAGTTCCGCAGTGAGCTGAGTTACTGCGTGTGGACGGTGAATTGGAAGTGCGGGTGGGAGGCGGATACAGGACAGCGCCCGGCAGGCGACTTAACCGAACTGGGGAAAGTAAGTCGGGGCCAAAATGCTCGTCCGTGCAGACCAAGCCCACGGTAAATACAAAACCGGGGTTTGTACACGTGACAAGCCATGAAATCATGGTAGCTTACACGTGCCATTACTTAGACAGACATGGAATTGTCATCAAACACGCTGTCAAAATCGCGCGGAAAATCCTCCAATCGACATGTGTGACATCAGCGACGTTCTCAATCAGCTTAATCCCACGAACGACCTCTCCGGGAAAAAACATCGAATTTGTGACTCAACCTGAAGTGCAAAACTAGCCCGCGTCCTCCAGGTGCCGAGCCGGTCTAGAACTGCGGCAGGCGGGCAGCAGACATGACCGCGGCACGCCAGATCAGCGCGAAAGCGGGCGCGGCGACCCAAGCGACTAATTTGTCCGTGACGGATGGGCTCAGACCCGCACCAGGCTCGGCGGCGGGGCGGCCCCGGTCGGTGACCAGGGCGGAGCCAGGGGCGGGACGCTGGGGCGCCGGTCAGAGGCGGGAGTCAGGGGCGGACTCCCGGGGTGACGCGACATGTCTGTGGAGGTGCCCGCAGACCCGCGGTGCTTGTATGCCGTCTGATGGTAGCCTGAATCATTTCAGAACACACGAAGACGACGTCGTTTTCTTGATCCGATTCGGTACACGTACCACTGCGACGACGGATCAAGTACAGAGGCAATGCCCGTGTATGGCTCAGAACAATGTGAGCTGTTGATGGAACTCGCCCCGCCCTGTGCGCCTTTAAGGGGGACGGACCAGCAGAGGAAGTCATTCCTCCCCAGCCGTCCTGCATGTACATGTATGGGGGTTGTCGGGGTTTCCCACCGGGAGCCGACCCAATCCGACACAGACGCGGGCGGCTGCAGTCGTCCGTTTCCGCCCGAGGGCACGCTGCAGCGTCGAGCCGGATTGTGACGTCACACACGCCTACCCGACATCCGTACCACGCGGACCCGTCAAATCGCGCCCCGCCCCTTGACAGGCTCAGACGTGGGCGTCGCGAAGTTTGGCTCCTGCCGGGCGAACGCTGAAACGGAGCTCTCCACTGGCTGCTCACCACTGGGGACGCCGTTGCCGTTGGACATGTAGGTGCCGGTGTTGCCGAGCTCGCGCAGAGGGCTGGGCGAGAGCCGGGATGTCGTGACGCCGTTCTCCTGCCGCGCCTGCGGCCGGGAGGGTCGCGTCATCATCACAGGTGTCCTCCGCGGCTCGCCTAGGTGTTGTAACGTGCGGGTTCAAGTCGCCACGTAACCTCAGCGTTAGCGACACGATCGATCGGGAGAGCGCTGCCATCACGTCAGTTTCCGTCGGGGATTTGTGCCGGCCGGCCTTGCCGCTCGCTGCTGGACGCTGTGCGGCCCTATTAGGGCGGCTTACATGAAGTTATCAGCCATCGGCGGGCCGTGAGGGATAAAGCACGAAAAGAAGACTAACACCCCCATTAAACACCCCTGCTCTACCGAACAGCCGGACGCTGAGCGATGTTCACGGCGCACGAGCATCGCCGACAGGCAAACCGTGACAGCGGGCTGAGCCGACCGATCGACGGTCGAGCAATCGCCGCCTGACGACAGGCGCGCCGGCACGGGACGAGCCCGGCGCCGCGCCGGCGCCGGGGCATCGCCCGGTCGCGTCGTGCGCGGCCCGGCACGCGACGTGCCGCCACGTCCGCGCGCCGCCGCGGCCACGTCCGCCGGCGCGTGCCGTCACGTCCGGCAAGACGTGCCGCCGGCGCGTACCTGCATGAGGGCGGTCAGGTGGCCGTTGGTCTTCAGCTTGGAGCGGCCGTGCAGCAGGTTGGTGACGCTGGAGCCGAGCAGCTGCGCTGGCTTGCTCCGCGCTCGCGCCGGCGCACCTGCGGACAGGCGCGGACGGTGAGCGGCGTCGATCGGCGGCGACTGGCGTTTTTGCCGCGTGTGGACCCGCATACCACGCGCCGGTCGGAACCCGCCGCCCGCGGCGCAACAGCGAGCGATGCCGAGCAGGCTTAACACACGCCGCTTACTGATTAACCAGTCAGCGGCGGAGACCGGCGAAGGCGCCGCTGACGAGCGTGGCGAAGCTGCTTACCGCTGGCGGCTTGGTTTTCTGCGGACGAAAGGCGGCGCAAAGCTCAAGCTTGAGCTGCTACCGGCAGAAGCCGGATGCTACACGCAGGGTTCAGCACACTCACAGGGCAGGCGAGAGCGTTTGTGAGGGAGTTCGCCGGAGTTGAACCCTCTGCAAGCTGCCGAGACACGTCTCTCGGCAGCGAAGGCCCCACGCACGAGCCGATAAATAAGCTGCACCGCAGTGACTCTGCGAGAACGGACCTCGCCGCCTCGTTTCTCATCTCCGCGAGCCATTCGCCGAGCGGCTAAAGCGACGCAACGATGATGCATGGCCGGGCCGTGCAAGGCAACGGTGAGGAGAGGGGGACTGGACACCGTGAGCCGGTCTCCTGCCACGGGGACCGCTGTCTGCAGCTGCGCGCGCTGCTCTGCGGTCGGCCGCACGCAGCGCGCCGCGGCGGGGCTGATGCGAGATCGTGGCAGAGGGCGCCGGACGCTGCGCGCCGCGGCGGGGCTGATGCGAGATCGTGGCGGACAGCGCCGGACGCTGCGAAGCGGCGCGCCTCGAAGAGCGCCGGAGAAGGCGGGGTAGTGACGCCGACACGGGCTGCCGGCTGACCGCAGAGGCCGCTCTGGACTGCTGTCCGGAAACAGTGCACGTGTGTAGGGCGGTCGTGCCGCCTCTACACGCCTCCGCGCCAGGCCTCGGCATCTCCGCCGACCGGAGCCGGCCGCGTGTTCCGGCCACCCCCTGCCCGAGGCAGGCCACCTCTTTGTCTCCGGCGCCCGGCCCTCAGCACGCGGTACCAGCGCCGGCGGGCCGCTCGGCCGGACGTGACTGCGGGTACAGAGAGACGGTGCGAGCCGCCGGCGATGGCTGGGCGACGGACGCCCTCCTCGCCAGCTAATGAGAGGGAGAGCGGGGACTGAAGACAGGGAACGACGGTCACGCCGCCTGGCTCGTACCCTGATTAGTGGGTGAACAAGGACGTGTTTTCCTCTTGTGGTTTCTGTTAAGCGCTGATAAAGAGAACCGCGATTGAACTCAAAGTGTTGAACGCTGCAGCAGTTCAATCAGATGTGGGAGATTTACTAGTTTGTTGCTACAAAATTATCCACAGGGGTTATCCCATTAAAGGGACGGTTATCCCATAAAAGGATAAATGCTCCAGAAAGTGCTGTTCGGACAGGTCCCAACAGCACTCTCCTGCCACCGCTGGCGACGCCGACGACGTGTCTGTACCTGATCGCTAATCAGATAGTAGATAGCGCCCGAACCGCCACTTGACCACGCCAACACGGCGCGCCACTGCCTGTCCGCGAACCCAGTCACGCCCGCTCCCACCTCCCGGCCCCCAGTCCCTCCCACCGGGAGCCTACGCCGCCCACCTCACCCCCGAACCTAGCGCCCGGCCGCGCCGCCGCTCACCCCACCCCCGAACCGAGCGAGCGCCCGGCAGCGCCGCTGCCCACCCCACCTCAAACCGAGCGCCCGGCCGCACCGCCGCCGTCCGGACGCCACCGGACACGGGCGCGTCCGCCGAGACGGCCGCCGCCGTCCGGACACGCCGAGTCGGCCCCCGGTAATGACAGGCCGGCGACGGCACAGCACCTCGGCCAATTAACATTCCCGGCCAGGGAGCCGGCACAAAGGGCGCCCGCCGACCCCGGCCCCGGCCCCGTCCGGCGACAACGCGCCGCGCCGCCGCCGGCCGCTGCCGGGCTGACCCGGCGCCACGCTCCAGGTGTCCAGTGCAGGTGGGTCGCTTGACGAACGGCTCGGGTGGCGGGGGCGCCGCCGGCGGCGGTATGCGGTAGGGTGTTCGTTTGCGAGCGACCTGAGTGGACTGGGGCGACAGCCTGCGCCGGGCCCGCTCGCTTGGAGGCCGGAAGGTTGAGTGAGCTGCAGTTCACGGCGCGGCCAGTTTCCTCTTCCGCGCAGCAACTGTCGCGAGGAGTGGCGACGAGGAGTGTCGCGAGGAGTGTCTATGTGCGGAGCGCGTGATCGGCTACATGAAGCACAGCTCACGGGCATCAAGACTCTCCAAGCTGACATCGAGTCAGGCGTGGTGTCACAGACGACAGACGACGTGAGTTATATATGGGTCGTGCCAGTGGCCGTCACGTACCCGTCGGATTGTTTTTGTAATTCGATTGCCGCATGTAGCTATCATAAAGCCTGTGTACTTGGATACGATATCTCCGTGTGTGGTGGCCAAGAGACATACGTCTGCTGTTTTGGCCTCTGTGACAACCGACATGCAAATTTCCGATCAGCGAGACGTGGTTAGCGACCTGAACGAGGGAGCGGGGGATAAGCACAGAGCGCGGCCATCGTCGTATCCTGGTGAGGGGGAGAGGGGGGGGGGGGGGCAGCACCAGCACACAAGGAGCAGCGAGTGGAGGCGCGTGCGATGCTATCAGCCTCATGCAGCGACTAATCTGGGCTCAGACGGTTCTGCTGGTTGGCTATCGACATGAGTCACAGCTTTGGAAGTGATGGATCGAAAGTGATTCGATAAGCTTCATCGAACAAGCGTTGTAAAAGGGTTCTGCAAAACTGACGAGAAGATAAGCAAAGAACAGACATTTTTACACAGCCTGGATGTCATTTCGGGTGTATACATGAATGGGTTTGACGTGAATGAGGGGCTTAGACAATCGATCAGGTGGCATTTTGGAGAGAAGCAAGTAATTTGTCACGATTAACCGATTTGTCGGGAAGCAGCCACCAAGAGCCCAAGGCAACGACCGGATTCAACGACCGGATTCAACGGCCGGATTCAATTGCGTATCGGCAAAAGTACAGCCTTCAGAACAGAAAAGACGCTTGGACATCAGATAAGTTGGCGTAACACCGGGATCACGTGCGGACGCTGTGGATTACTCCCATCCATATCGTGGTCGTGACAGAATTTATCGCTCATGGGCTGGCACAGCGCGAGACCAAGCGCTGGAAGGGGCTCTAACGGGCAATAGCAGGCGACGTTTGCCGAGTTCAAGAGCCTGCTGCACGTCCGTATCGGAACGGCTGCTTAGCCGCACAAGGGCTTTGGTCCGTTGACACCACCTCAGGAGATCAGCGTGGAGGAGAGCGCACCTGGACCTGAGCGGACGGCGCCGCATCGGTAGCCCATCGCGCTCCACCCGTCTCTCATTGGGAACCACGTGCCCGTCTGCTACCACGGCTGCACTTATCAGCCTTCAACGGCTGCTGTTTTCTCTGAAGTCCTGCCAGACACCTCTTCACATGACGTCCCCCGAGCCGGAAGTTGCAGAATCTCGGCACCTATCGCCTCTTCGCAGCGGCGCATCGAGGCAGAACGCAGCGGGCGACAGCGTGGACGACGTGAAGTAACTTACAAAATGCGGCAGCCGGACAAGCTGTGTAACTATCGCGTTGGCGCCAACGCCGGCGTCGGACGCGAGCCAGAGCAGTCCAGGCGAGCGGCATGGCCCTGACGTTGATTTCCTGAGTCCGCCGCCTCACCTGCCGGAGCAGGCGTCACGCCACGGCGCCGCCGCCGGCGGAACAACGTCACCGCCAGACTGACACCCTATCAGGCGCCGGCCGGTCGCGCCAGCCGATGACCTGGCGGCGGCGACCGGCTGCACGGAACGCATCGAGGGGGGGGGGGCGGCGGAGCGATAGCGGAACGGCGGCTCCTATCAATCAGAGGAGGGGTTTAGCGACCTTAAGACGAAAGGAATCACCCGCGACAGACAGGCACCGCCGCCGGCCGTCCCCGGTCACCGCCCTGATGCCGGGCGGCGGAGACCCGACCTTAGAACGGCGACGACATCGAACGCCGCTTAAAAGGTGCAATCGCTGCAGACAAAGGGCTGACGGTGTGGTGCGAGGCAAAGGCGTACCGAATGCGATGGAATTCCGATGGCGTGAGGGTGCTCTTAAGCGACTTCGGCCCCTGTATGTTGTCGCATAACGGTGCGTGGAAGGGAGGAAGCAATGTCCTTCGCGCAGTCTTTGTAAGTCGGCGATCGCCGAGGCGAGAGCAGCCGTCACTACGACGATGTTGGACATTTAAAGTGATAAAAGCAGTGAGAATAGCTAGCTCGAGGTTGGAACAGCTCACTGCGTGCCTGTTAAGTCCACTGTGAGAGCAATTCGTATATATCCCACCACCTCATCAGCTGGGTGACTGTCATGTCCATGTCAAATCTGTGTCAGTAATGAGCCGATGCAGCCAGTGTTAATGACACCAATTTCCAAAGCGCGCGTTTTCCGGCCATCTCGCCCGGCGGAGCGAGCCGGCGGGTGCGCGCAGCGGGCCTCGCGCGATGAAGTCGGAGACGACACACGTGGGTGGCAACGACGGCCCGGCAGCTGGCACCGGCTCCTCCCATCGCTACCTTGTTTCGGAATGTCCCGCTGGGCAACATACTGCAGCCAATCTGCTCGATCTGCCACTACCCGCCCACCCCAGCCGGCCCAGTCCTTGGCAGCAGGCCTTGTCAAACTCGGCGCGATAAGGCACGGTCGCGCCACAGAAACGGGCACTGTTGCGGGAACATTTGGTCGTGGCTCTGCCCTGCCCGTCGGTTGCCTGTTTAGCTTCGAGTTCGGCGCTGTAGCAGGGTGGCATGGCAACCAGCCATTCGCTGCTTTTAGGACAGTTATACACAGGATAAAAGTGGGCTAACGCTGGCCATAGCCGCAAAGCACAGCGTGTCCAGACACCCAAACCTTCATCTACGTGTTAGCCCCCGGGGGCTCTCTACAAAATAGAGCACGAGGACATCGAGAGCAGGAGAGAACAGAACAGAGTAACAGAGCATTAGTGCCGGCGAGCCGGGCCGTGCAGTGAACCCGGGCCAATCTCGACCAACTCACCGTCGGCAGAGCAGAGGGGACAGCTCTGGCAGCGCGTCATGCAGCTGTAGCAGCGCTCGTGACCGCAAGCGTCTGTGATCTTGCGCTTCATCGCCTGGTCGAACGGCACCGAACAGACGAGACACGTGTCGGCCAGGTCGGCCGCCAGGTGGCGCTGAGCGCCCACGTCTGCAACAGAGCGGACGGCGGTGAGAGGGAGCTCACAGACGGGCAGGCGGGATGTGCAGGGCGCTCACTGGATGGTGGGGAAGAGTGGTGTCCACTGGTTAGTGGAGGTGAATGGCGCTTCTGATGGTGGGTGCGGTAAGAAGCTGACTGACACCAGAGGCAAGCCGGTGAGGTAAGAAGCTTAATCACCGGAAGCAAGCGGGGTGAGCAAGATGCTCACCGACGGCAGGTAGGGTGAGAAGGGCGCTCATTGTGGATGGTGAGGGGGCACTAATGTATGGTGAGCGCATGAAACTAGATATTACCACAGGCGAAAACATGAATGAGCACGTCCGTTGGGTGACATGATGTCCAATCCCAGCTACCTACACTACCGGACCACTGCACCGCGTTTTCACATTAGAGCACATATAATCAAATGCGTTTGACTCCGGTGCCACAGGCTCGCAGCATCACTGCAGTGCATTTAAAGCGACACCGGCGACTAGCGTGACACGCACGCCTCACGCAGCCTCACGCAGCCCCACGCAGACGGCAAGGCTCGCCTCACGCAGCCTCACGCCGAACGCCCAGTCCACAACGGCGCCCAACGGCCGCCAAACCGGACTGGGTCGGACGCGGCTGCTGATCAGCCCTGACGTAAATAACGCCGATGTGGCGATAGCGGCGCTGACACTCCGCACCCGCCGCGTGTCGGGGCGCTGCCCGTCCACCGCCTCTCCTTCCGCCCCGAAGCCGGGCCGCAACAGGTCGGCGGGGCCACAGACCGGCTGCCGTTCCCATGCAGCGTCGTCAGCCCGACCGCAGCCGGCGAATCCGCCTCCCAGAGCGGGCAGCCGACAGGAAAAGCGCATTTGTCGCTAATCCATCGTGCCGGCGTCCAAATAAGGCGGCGGTCGCCGCGCCGCCGCCGAGAACCCGTTCCTGCAGGGCGGTTGGTCCCGGCGGCGCCATGACTCAGCCTGGCGTGCTCTCCGGCGGCGGCGGCGGCGCTGACGACCCCCTCCGCCGCCGCCGCCGGTGGCCGGCCGGCCTCGCCCGTCACAGCGACCCGCCGGCCGCGGCGAGCGATGGCGCGCGCGGACGGCGCGGACGGCGACGGATTGAGACGCGCCCGGCTGCTGAGGTGTCGCGGCGGATGGGTGGAGTCGCTCGGCGCCGGGCGACGCCGCGGCGCGGACAGGTGTGCAGGTGGACAGGTGGACAGGTGGACAGGTGTGCAGGTGGCGCTGCAACGCCCGCGGGAGGTTCCGGTACGGCCGGGAATGCGTGGCGACGGGGCGCGTCACCGCAGCCGCGGCGAAGGCCAGCAGACCAGATGAGCGACGCGCTCAAACTGCGCGCCGCCACACCTCGCGCAGCAGATGTGCGATGGTGTTTCCCTGGAGGCTGCGATAGCGAGACGCAGATCGCGCACACTGCGAGGGCCAGGTCTCACCAGCTAAACCAGGGACTGGGAGCCAAGGGTCCGCACCCCAGTCTCCTCCCCTCCAATCAGTGCCGGTTTGAATTCGTCTGCGGTGGCGGCTGGTTGCCACGGGCCGCGTTGTCCGGCCATCATTCGGCCTCAGCTCGACCGCAGCCGTGTGGAAGACATGTCGCTTTTTGTCCCGCTCGGCCGGTTTGTGATTAAATGGCCGCGACTGGATTGCCCCCCCCCCCCCCAACCGGCCTTCGCCGCCGCCGAAACGGGACGGCTTGGGGGGGGGGGGGCGTTTTTTCACAGGGACGCTTTGTGCCGGGCGCAGCCAGGCGCGCGCGTGCGGCTGCCAGCCTGCCAGACAGGCGGACTTGTGGCCGCCCGCCCGCCACCGAGAGCCCTTCGAGGTGTTCCGCCTGACCGGGCTGGGCAGGGAGAGGGCGCTTATCCCGGCTCGACCCCGAGCTACGAACTCCGCGGCGTCTCTGCACGGGCCTTACTCAGAGAACGTATACGCTTAGCATCGCTGCGGTACTATTTCAACAGCCGCGTTGGCAAAGCGAGACACGGTCCTGCGCGCATGCGAGATGGGAAGCCGACAACTCAGCGACTTCATCGGATCAGTGTCTGACGACAGACCCCGGCTACACCTAGATGACACACTAAATCAACGCCAGCGCGACACAGCGTGGCGCAACGCGTGAAACTAACCCGCTTAGGTGAGTCTGACCCCGCGTCAGATGCTTAGTCATCGGATGTGGCAAGCTGAAGATGAGCCCTGATGCGGCAGTTGGTCGTGTCCGTGGGTGGTACTGCAATGTTGCAGTGCAGCGACATTCGTAATGCACAGTAAAACCCCTATGCGTGTTGGATTTTTAGGTGCCGTCCACGCAGTTTGTCGTAGTTTTAACTCGCGGCGGTCTTTCATGCTACCATATCAATGCTGCAAGCCAATATAATGCGGCCGTCATTCCAGTCATGCGGCTGCAAAAGGGAACATCCCATTTGCATTATTTCAGCGAGATTATCACAGTTGGCATTTAATCACCGAGCCATGAGCATTGCCGAATGGCAACGGCCGATAGCATGCGTAAATGAGGCTTGTGAAGAGCAGCAATGACGGGCAGCAGCCATTCGTCGAGACAAATGCCGCGAGACGTGAAGACTTGAAGGGTCGAGCTTGACACCCCCATTCAACACTAACTAATAAATCAAGATGAGCGGGCTCACCTAGATTTTTAAGCAGTAAATTTTGGATGCTAGTAGTAAATTTTGACTGAGGCAAGTCTCGTGCCTATTGAGTTCTAGCGCACATGTAAACGTGATGGCTAGATCGTTCGTTCCCACACCGTAAATAGCCGACATGCTGGAGCCGATTTAGCATAATTTGGACTAATTGGCACATCAGACGTGTTCACACGCTAGTATGCTATTTCGAGCCGCCCGAGGCTCCATTTCACACTTAGGTTAATGCGATGTCAGAGTTCGAAGGTGAGGCTGTAAAATGTCGCACCAAATCCGCGGTCCGCCAAACGAGACGGAATAAATCGTACGGCGGAGGCATTCTGTTCATTTGCAGGCAGTTCGGGTCACACCGAACGAATCACATGCTCATCGACACAAATGTCCAGTAAGGCGTCATTACCTTGATACTTGGCGCTGGCCATAGTCGTCATTTCGGTGGCTAGGAGCGACCCCTGGTCATCACAGTACTTCGTGCGTCAGGACACTGATCAGTGGGCCTCTCGGCCAAACGTCGCGCACGAGCGTCAGTGGGATCACCTCGACTGCGTGTGCACAGACCGTCAGCGAGACCGCTCCACCACTCCGATCCGCTCCGCACACGCGCCGCCAGACCACCGCCTCCCGCGCCCTTCGCACAACTGCCTTGACGCCGGACGCCGGGACCGTTCATTCAGATTCCCGGCCCCGGCAGCGGTACGGTCTCCGACACGGTGACGCACGGTCGGCCCCTCCGCTGCCTGCCCTCCCCCTCGATCCCGCAGCCGCCGCCCCGGCATCCAACAAGCATGTGCTCGCCAAATGCCCAAAACATGCTCGGCAGGATCACCGCCGCCCCTTAGCGCTCACCCCCGTTGGGAGCGGCGTTTGTGCCGGGGCGCGGACGTGCTGCCAGAGACCGTACCGCCAGGTAAGACGGCACGCTGCCGTCGGTGACGTCACGGGCTCTCAGCGTTTCTGCAATGCCATTGAACGCCCAGATGCGGTGTCGATATGCAGGCGAGCCCGAGGGACATGGACGGCCGCCATGCCATGTAAGGCCGCGCTGGCTGGCGGCCGAGGGCGTCACCGACGTGCGCCAGCGCCGCTCCCCAGTGAGGCTCCACCCCGACCCGGAAACGGCCCCACGCCGCCCCCGGTCACCGACTGCGACCTCCCCGCGGTCCGGTCAAGTGACGAGGCCGACCTGGAGGCGCGCCGGCCTCGGGGAGAGCATGTGACTTCATCGCGTTCCGGTGACTCGAAAAGGAAGACGTCCGGCCGGCGGGGCCACGTGATGACACACAGTTTGTTAAATATGCGCCAGATGGGATGGCTTCTGTGACGAAGAGGTGGTTTTCCTGCGGCTGAATCATGTCTTGCCAATGCCAGGGAAATGTAGTGCCATATCGCAGGACTATACCACGCACTGGTGCGCTAGGAACTTCTCAATGAAACTCGCAGATGCGCCGCTTTTCACGATGAAAAGTGCGTGAATAGCTCGCAATGCAGCCGGAAGTCACGACCAAGCTCATCCGTGATATTTTCATGGTGTTATTGCGCGCATGAAAAATTTTCAATCATAGGAAGCTGGCACCCTTCAAGAACAAATTTTGCTTCATTTCACGGCTACACTGCACCAATTTCTCTCTTCTTGCTTTTTAAGCCTGCAGTCAAGTACACCCCTGAGGATTTGCGCTACCTCTGGTGCGAAGATAGTGCAATATAGTATATAACAAAGTACTGCATTCGGTCTTCTGTCTCATGCATCCTCATCCCACATCGCCCCGATTACCAGCTTGGCAGGTACATTTCTGTTCACCGGGCCGTAGCGCTCAAGATACCGGACTGCAGTGTTCTGGAGTGTTCGCAGCGCATCCAGTCCCAGTTCGGTGCCGGTGCGCTTCTCCGTGTTGTTTCAAGTTCAATATTTTTGGGGGAAATATCTTTCACGGATGATTTTGGTTCTCAATGTTGGACACGCACCGTGATGTCGGTCTCCCGCCATCGAAATATTAACTTCTCCTGAAGTCCCCTTCGGACCTCGGTGAGAACATTTCGGTCTCCAGAGTACCTTTAACAGCTGCGATTTTGACGCAGTGCTCCTGCTTCGGCTCAGCCTGCTGAACGGAGGGCACCCGCCCGACATCTGACGGCTGCGCGGGTACGCTGGCTGAGCCTCGCTCGCTGCAGACTCAGCCGGCGAGCTCCTTCCCCGCGCCGCGCCACGGCAGCGGCCGTGATGTGTTTTCGCTGCCTACCGCGTCCGGAGACTTCAACGGCCAAAAAGCCGCCAGAGCAGATCGTCAGATAGCTCGCGCGTTAAAAATCTGTTTGCGCACTTGGCGGCGCTGGTGCA